GGACTGTGACCATTTAATATAAAAGGATTGTGCAAAATCTCCAACATATATACTCATAACCAGTGCAATGAAAACCCACATGACCTATCACCCAACCCTAACAAGAATCTTGCCATACTTACTATGCATACTTTTTCAGAAATGTATAGCCTCTTCTCTCCCAAGTTCATTTTGGTATCTGGTCAGAGAGGAGTCCTCCGAATTTTCTTTGCTGGCAAGCACATTTTCTCCAGTTTCAAGACATGTTATGCCCAAGCCTTCCAAAGTATCCAGGAATGAGGTGTTGGAAAAAGGACTCTCTGATTATAACCTCTGTACTTTAAAATCCTGAAGACCCTGCCTGTTAAGCTGCCTCTTAGCTTCCTCCCTCCCTCCTTGCTCAGCACCTCCCCTCTGCCCCCACAGTCTTCACTTCCCCACTGTGGATGTCTGGTGGCTTCCTGAGGGCCCTTTGCATGAGAGTCTGCTCCACACAGTCCCTTAGTTCAGGAGCCGTTGATGGGATCTGTTATCAAGGGCTCTATGGGGCCACCTATGGAAATTTTCCCTTTTCTTGGCAGTACTGAGCAGCTGAGTACACATTAGAGCAGGTTCTGGTACCTCAGTATGTGAGAAAGTTTACAACCTTTACTTTTGCCTTGGCCCTAGGATTATCCATCTCTTGCCCTGCTTGAGAAGGAAGTTGCAGAGAATAACATCAACCTCATCTTTGCAGTGACAAAAAACCACTATTATGCTCTACAAGGTATGCCTGGAGGGAGAGAGGAAGGCTGGCAATCCCATTCTGGGGGCCTTGTTGACCCGGAGGGAATGAGAGATTACAATGTGTATGTGGGGGAGGCGAAAGAGTGTTCACAGTCCTTCAGGGGCGTGGGAGGAAAGGAGGTCAGAGGAGAGGTGCAAGATAGCTCTGTCTGGGCTCTAGTAGAAAATAATGACACTAAAGGAAACTTAAAGCTTTCACATACTGTGAGTATCTTTTACAAGGAATTTAAACATATCGGTCTAGTTTGGATTCTGAGAAAAGCCCCTCCTTCAAAAAAATAGTATAAATTTTCGTTTTCAGACAATGAAATGGAAACACAGGGACACACTGTGCCATAGGGAGGGAAATATAAAATGAAAAGACACAGAAAGGAAACTGAGCATCTAGGCCTCGTATGGTGAATCCAGGATTCCAGTTTTATGCCTTGCTAAGAGGGTGAGAGACGATGGGTGCCTAGGGGCAGGAGTTTCCCACCGGAAAACAGCAAGCATGCTGACGTGAAACAGGGCAGTCCATTACGGGTCTTTTGTAGTAATGAAAACTTGGTTCTCCTATGGACCATCATCATAAACTCCCCTCATGAACAATGTCCTTGTGCAATCCAATGAAGCATGCACCACCGAAACTAGAAAACCTGAACTGCACAACGAGAAACACACGTGAAATGACTGTAAAACCCAATTCACCTCTGAGTCCTTTTCATTGCAAGTGAAGAGACTTCTCTGGAATCCCTTAAAAATCGTCCACGAAAGACCTTTGTCGACTTTATTTTGGTGAAGATGCCACTGATATCTTCCTAAAGTTTCTGATTTTCTTTGCTTGGAGTTTTAGTTGATGAAAAAATGATTAAGGACAATTTTTTTTTTCTTCTTTTTTATTTGGCAGTATATTGAAGCTTCTAGGATGGTACACAAGGCGAAGAAATCCATCGTTGGCTTCAGGCCATCGTCCTCAAGAACCAGTTACCTCTCGGCTTAGTGGGAGAGGCCCCATGCAAGGCCAGGGCAGCTGCATACAGGGTCGGTGCCTGTATCGGTTCCTGTGGACAGGGCTGCCTATGCTAAGGAGTTCCCACTAGCAGGAAGAGGGCAGATTTTACTTCAAGGCCACCAGCTTTGCCCCAGGACCTTACTGTCCAGAGGTCCTCAGGAGGTCTCAGCTCCCTGCTGAGAAGAGAGGTGTACATAACACCTTTGGGAAAGTGGCCCTTTGTACTCTTGGGGAAACAGAATGAGCCATCCTGGATCTGGGCTTATGTGGGAGACTGGGGAGAAATGGGAAGAAAATCACACAGGGCAGGGTGACCTCAAAGGATAGACTATCAGAAAGTTGTCCATTTCATGCCAGAAAGGTGGGGTCTTTAGGGCTTTTCCCTTGGGGACAGGTCTTGCCAGACCCTCCTCCTCCCATTCACAGGGATGGATGCTCCACGGCCCACCATAGCAACTCTTCCTCACGCCCATTCTTCTTGCCTGTCCTTGTGGCATCTTCTCCAATGTGTGGTGCAGGGGAGGGGTAGAATAGAGTGCTGGCCCTTAACACTTCTCATCATTACAGCAGTGTTCACTCTGATAGAATGGAAGGCCAAATGAACTTACTTCTTTTCTTTGTTTTTTAAAGAATTTTACAGCCCTGATACCTGGAACCACAGTGGAGATTTTACATGGAGACTCCAAAAATATTATTCAACTGATTATTAATGCATACAATGTAAGTTGCTGTCTTTGTTGCCCTATTGCCACCTCTATTCCATCCTCTCCCAATGAGGCCCTGGGAACTGATGGGGGTTTGGGTGGGTTTGCCCCTCCACTTGGGGAATCCTAGACCTCAGGGAGCCTCTCTGAGCCTCCATGTTCTAAGGGCAGGAAGATGGGTAGTAGGGAGGATTTCTGGCTAATTTGCCCTTCCTCTTCCCATGGTTCCCCTCTCCCCTTCTGCTGTAGTTTAGGCTCCTCATGAATGCTGATACCTCCTT